CTGTGTCTTGACAAAGTAGTCACTGGCAGTTTACTCTATCTCTTATTTGATAGAAATATATAGAAATGCTATTGAAATTTATAGTCCTCGTGCATGACTTGGATAAGACGAACGAGAATAATCCTCCTAAGACTAAGAAACTTGTTGTCCGTATCCCCGAACCAAAATTAGACGTTGTAGAAGTTGTATTTAGAATGAATAATAACACGGTATATTTCGATCCCGAAACTCTTAGATTGGCTCATGTTGTTTCGGGAGATCCAATGCTTGTTGTGATTGAAAGTAAGATTTCTAGTTCTATTGTTCATGGCGAGGAAGATTTAATTTGGTTGTTTCAACTCAGATAAAAGGATTTACGGTGTTGAAGCTGAACAAAACTGGAGATCGACAATCAACATCAATGGGTGGAGGTTGAAGATTTGGGTGACAGTTTCATGTTGTTTGACAACATGAAGTATAGGTTAATTTCAAGTATTGGCTTCCATGGAAATGTTAGAAGAAATTGCATTTACTTTGCAATAATTCAAGAACATGATCGTCCTTCATGAAAGCTTGATAGTGGGATTTTCTGCTTCGCTGACAAAAGCATTCATTCACCCAATGTTCCAAAATCTAATAGTTGGCCCAGGTGTTTGTGGTTTATGCCAAATAATCTTTTGTAGTTTTCTGAATTTCTTTCCTTTTTTTTGATTTTTTTTTTGCAATTTACTGTTAGAAAAATGGAAAGATTTTGCATATTACCTGGTCATATCACTCTCATAAAAAAAATAAAATAAAATTGTAAAGTATATTTAATTAATTTTAGTATGTAAAATTTTGTCAAAAAATTTATTATAAATTAGGATGAGGAAGTATATATGTTAGTAGTTGGGAAGAAAATGGTCCTTATTCTCGAAGCTTCTAATTTCTGTTTCCTCAATTTAGAAGAGACATGAATGATTTCACAGTGCTATATTTGGCGAGGTGGAAGAGGCTTGGTGTTGTTGCTAGATTTGGAGTGGAATGTCAGTTCAAGTTGTGATTGCCGCAGAGATGGGAGGTTGCATTGATTTCAACAGCAATGGAGGGGATGAAGATTGTCGGTGGGTTCCTTTGGGGATTGTAATTTCGGTGCAAGGACTGTGAGCAAAGAAATTTTTGGAAGGAATGAAGTGGATTAGACAAATTTTCAAGGATTGGGGGGCTTCGACTTCTGTGATTGGGTGGCTAGTGTTTTTAACTCATCTAAACTAGGTACTTTCTTCATTGTGGATCAATGTTGATTGGCAGAGTTTGATCTTGGTTTTCACTATTGCTATCTTACTGTAATTTGGAGAAGGCTCTTGTGGGATATAGATTGGTTGGACTGATTTTATTTGATTTGGTGCCTTATTGAAAATATATTTTGCTTGTTGATATTTTTATCTCTTTACTACTGTGGTTTGTGGGAGGCTCTTACTAATGGAGGTGGTTCTTGTAATTTTGTCCTCATCCATATTATGACCATGGTGGGCATTAATTTGCTTTTTGCTTTTTGCCTTGGGTGGCCCTATCTTGGCTATGTTTTGGCTGATTTCTTTAGGCTTATAGAGGGAAAAATAAAGGATGATCTAAGGTGGGTTCCTCTTGAAAAACTACTGTCAATTTTTGATTCTCTCTTGTGGAGTTAAAGGGAGTTAGAGGAGTTCGTATGTGTTCCATTAGTGCAAACTGCTTTCGAGGATACATTATGCGTTGATAGGAATTGCTTGGCTCTGGTGGATTTCTTTTTTAATCTTGGCAATGCTATGTGGCAGTATAGCGTCAAGTGGCAACCAAGTTTGTTTACAGCTATGGGTGTTATTTCCTGCATGGCTCTTGAAAGGATGTGCCTAGTAATTGATTGGGTTCTTACACCCCGATCTCTACTTGTTCTCTTCCTAGCTTCTGGTTTTGAGATAGCTAGGATTGCTCGTTGTCTTTCTCTCTTTTTTCTTTGCATTCCATTTGGCTGTTGTGTTTATTTTTGGTATTTTTGTTCCCTTCTTTTGTTTTGGTTTGTTCTTGTTTTGACTAGTTTCAAACTTGTTTAATATTAATTTCTTCTTTTGTGGCAAAAAAAAAAAAGAAAAAAGAACATAGATATTGTTGTTAAGTGTCAAGATTATATTAAAGATAAAATCTTTCGAGATGTTAAAAAGAAGATACTCTCTTCCCGGTTCTTATTATAAGGTGTTTTTTTAAAATTTTTTTTACTCTTAATATATAAGACACTTGGTGGTGTGTTAATTGTATTGTTTTAATATTACTCATATTTAAAGCCATTAATTATGAGAAAGAATGTAATGAGAATTTGAAAATTTTACATTTAAACAAGGATAAAATTAAAAGTTTATTTTATTTTTAGACAAAGTTAATAATTTGTTCACATTTTTATAATTCTAATGATATAATTAAACGTGCCTTGTAATAGAGACTGAATAAGTATATGTTATGTGCAATGCAAAGTTTTACAATATATTTTTCCAGCCTATTCTACTCTGGAAGAAAACCAACTATAGCAAAGTATGTCAGGTATGTATGAATGAATCTATTGAACAATGGAGGCAGTCAGGATTCTTGTGTTTACCAAAAAATGGGCTCGAACCTCCTTAAATTGATATTAATAAATTTCTATAAAAATTTTATTTTCTTTTCTTTTTTTTTGGGATAATTTTTCCTGATTTTATTATTTTTAGAAAATATAAAATCTTTTTCTTTAAAAAATGGTAATTTTATAAAATTCACATATTCTCAATTTAAGGGGATTTATTTTTAAAATAACATAGTGGATAGACTTATACAATGTCCCATCACAATACAGCCAAACACAACAAATCACATAAAGTCTCCTTACTTGGTAGAAGAGAGATCACTTAAGATTTGAAGTGGAAATGTAAGATTAAAAGTGATGAGTTTATTTTTATTTTTAAATTGGAGAAACTAGGACAGAAGATAAGAGGAGAGATGAAAGTAATAAAGGTATCGATAATGAAAGTGTGAATAAAATTAGAATGTTGGAGTAGCTGAAATTTTAAATAACTATGATCCAAAAATAATTTAAAATTATAAATAAAATATAATAAAACAAATTTGGATTTGCCCAATTGATGAACTTTTATGGAGGGAATTTGGTTCAAGTCAAATATTCATGCATCGCAGCCTAAACCTTTTCTTGTTTTTTTTCTTTTTCTTTTCACTCATTTTCAACAGGGAAAAGATGAAAAACTATATAAACAAAATGAAATTAATTAATTACTATCTTGACAACAATGAGCTCTCCCTTTGGATCACTTCTTGTCTAAGCGAGGGAAGAACCCAATTCACTAACTATGGTTTCTCTATACTTTTACTTTTATCCATTAAACATTCCAATATATAGATAGATGACTAAAAATCATTATATTTATCAAAATAGACTAAACAGACTTTTTTTTTATAACAACTAAACAGACTTCTTTGAAAGGTAAAGATTAAGGACTAAACAGTACATACATATCATGTATACTATAAAAATCAAAACAATATCTTAAATATTCAAATTCTAAAAAATATGTAAACCAATTAATATGAAAGTAAAATATTTTATCAAAAACATTGAAGGAATATTTTAACCTATAGATAAAAAATTAATATCTAATATAAAAAAGGAAATTAATTAAATCATAAAAGATAATAAAATTTACCCTTTTAAGTACATTCTTCCTCCTCGGCTTTTTTACTTCTCTTATCAGTTATTTTTTATGAAAAGAAATTTTAGATATAACTGATAATAAAATCGTCCCCTGCATTGCATCTTTGCTTCGGGTGAATTCTAGGATTTTGGACGAGACTTTACTTGACTTAGAAGTGTTGACCCATTTAATAGAAGTTTCAAAGAATTATTATAATTGTCCAATTAATTATATAATAAAAATTAATTAGAAGGTCCTTCTAATTTTTATCAATTTTGAATTAAGTCTCTATAATTTATTTTATTTTAATTAAACCCATATAGTTTGATCAATTAAATATATTTGTCCTTGAAGGTTAAGAATATTAATGAACGATTAATTTTTCAAAAACAAAAAATTTTAAAAATTTATAAAAATGAGTTGATTTAATGCTTTTAGCCTGAAAAAGAAAAAACAAAATTGATTTTAATACAATCTTTACATTTCATTAATTTTTTATTAAAATGATACAAATATAAAATTTAAAAAAATAACATAATTATATAAATTTTGAGCAATAAACATTATGTAATTAATTTTAAGTTATATATTTTTTTAATAAAAAATATAAAAAATTTTAATTTCATTTTTAAAAGAAACATTTAACAATTTTAATTTTTCAGAATTAACATATTTAATCAATCAAACTATAAAGATTTAATTAAAATAAAATAAATTACAGATACCTAATTTAAAATTTAGGAAAACTAAAATTATCTAGAGGTTAATTTTCCTCATTATATATGATATGATTGTATTGGGTTTTTTTTTTCTAAAATATACATTTGGTATTCTAATTTTATAAAAGATTTCAGTTTAAACCCTTAATTTTATAAATTATATTTTTAGTTCTCTAAATATAATAATATTAGTTTAAATATTTATTTTTGTGCTAATCATTATTAATTTTTAAAAAATTAGACTTAATACATTGATATTTGAGAATGTTTTGTTAATATTTAAAAGTTCATTATAGAAATTTTTTTTTAATGAAACTAATAGTGTTAGGATTAAAGGTCTAAAAATATACTTTATAAAATTAAAATATAAAAATAAAATTTTATATAAAATTAAAGAATTGAATGCATACTTAATTTTTTTTTTTTTGGGTTACCCATTGTATTGGTATTAATTGGTCTCGGTTTTGATTAACAGGGACATTGGGTCAGCCAGGTTTATTTCTGGGATTTTAACAGGAATCTTGGGCCAATCAACTTTATTTTGGGCCTTGGGCCAATTGACATTTCCGACCCAATTTTGCCCTAATCCTTCTTCAACTCCGTTTTCCCTGATGCGTCTGGTATCGTCCCGTTGTGCCTTTCCGATCCGCCTGCGGTATCAGTAATATTGCTTTACTAACAATTGGCCTCCTCAAGCGGCTGAGGAGGAAGAGGCAGAAATTAAATCGATGATGAGGAATCCATCTCACAAATGGGCATACATTCGGATCATCACCGGTACAATCGTCGGAGGGATTCTCGGTTTCTACGTTATGCATCGCCTTGAAACTAATTATAAGGTAATCTCTCGCCTCCTGCTTTCCATCCTTCTGGAATGAATAAGATTTGAGATCGATCGGATTTTTAAGCTACCTGATGGCATTTGAAATCATGTGCTTTTTGAATGTCTCTTTCTGTTCTTGTCTTGTTTCTAAGTCTAATTAATGGTTGATGACAGGAAAAAATGAATGAAAGACTAAGAAATTATGAAGCTGAATTGCAGAGGAAGAAGCATGAAAGACTGAATGAGTTTAAAGAAGAATCGTCCTAGCTCTCCCACTGAGTGACAAGCCTCTTGTTTAGTTTTCTGAAATTGAACTGTAGAACAGGCAAACTTATTAATTATATGAAAAGAAATTTTAAATATAACTTATAAATAAAAGCTTTCGCGGATTGCATCCTCCTTAGAACAGGGAAGAAAAGGTTTGCCCATCGAGACGCCTGGGTGAATTCTAGGATTTTGGACGAGACTTTCATGCTGACAATTAGGAATGGGAAAGAAGCGACCAGATGATCCAGCAGAGCAAGGAGAAGTGTCGGTTCCACAGGAATCAGCAGAAGAACATTTTGGAATCGGTTACAGAGGTCATCGACATTGATGCCATCATCGAACAAGCAGACGAGGCTGGGCGTCTCTTCTTCTCCAACCGCCTGCCCCTGACCTCCCCATTAGTCTGTGAGTTATTTGCTATTCAATTTGTGACAGCGAGAGTGCGTTATTTCCCCTTTCCCCCCTATTTTGATTGCAAATTCATCTCGATAACTAAGCTGGTTATTTTAACGGTAAAGCTTGGAATCTACCCTTTGGCTAAGTTAACGTTTTATTTTGATGCTATTGAGTTTCTAGACCGCTTCACTTTTCAAGATTGAGGGGTGAAAGTTACGGTTCGTGTGATTACTTGATTGATAAGTTATCTTAGCTAATTTGACTCGTGATGGTTTCGTACTAAAGATGACTGATTTATCACAACTCAGAAGAATAATATATGAGGAACGTTTTTTGTTTCACATATGTTGAATGATTACGTTTCAGACTCGAGGAAATGAGAAGCATGTCCTCACACCCATTGTGAAGAATCTTGGATATCTGGAGACAGCTTGGGCGAGTTGTTGAGTAGTGATTTGGTGAGTTGATATCCTGCATCACAATGACTTAGTTACTTGGGATAAGGCTGTGTTGTTTTTTGTTTTTGAGATTGGGGGCTCATTCTTTTGAGTAGTAGTTGAAAAATGTTCAAAGATTTGCAGGAGAAAAAACATATTGACTATTGAGCCCCAAATAAAATTAAGGGTGTTCAGTCTGTACCCGTCTCGATTGGCCCAGTATCGTCCCGATATCTTGTCCCGGCCCGAAAATAATCGGGATGAGATTTTGCGGGACGAGACAGAAAAGGGGTTCGGGACGGGACGGGACACTGGATTACCATCAGGACATCCCGTCCCGTCCTGAATATTATATATATTATTTTTTATTTTAAATATATTAATTATATTAATATAATTTATACTTATATTAATTATATCAATTATAATTTTAATACTTGCAATTCTTATTTAAAACTAAAGTTTTTTTATATTGATAATTTTAATGGCATGGAGTAAACATGGCGATATCTTTCTTTATAATATGTTAATTATATTAATATAATTTATTCTTATATCTATCTATTTAATAACTTTTATTTACAATGTATTTTTTGCTTATTTTTAGAAGAGTAATTAGCTTAGTACATCTTCACTAAAGTAGAAGAACAATGATTTGATGTTATGTTTGACTTTCCTGTTGTTATTAATCTTATAGCATAAAGATCATTTATATTTATTATTATAATGTGTAGTTGTAATTAATATAATTCAATAATTGATTTTAAATTATTGTTATTTCTATACTTGTGTTGTTTTGATTTTAAACTTAATAAATTATATGATTTAAAATTTTAATGAACGTTATTATCCAGATCTTTTTTTGATATTATTCCATTTATCGGGACGGCGGGACATCCCAATCTTGTCCTAGTCCCGTCTCGACTCTTAACGGGACGAGACGACTTTCGGGATGGGACGGGACACAGGATCAAAATTCAGTCTCGATCTTTTTTTTGGGACGGAACACGGGACCGGGGTATCCCGGTCCCGTCCCGTCCCGTGAACACCCCTAAATAAAACTATTGGTATATATGGACAATTAGCCTGTGGATAGTCACGAGTTACCTTTTCATTTTGCAAATAAACTGACTCTAGAGGTAGAAAATATTGGCATGCTACAATTGCATTTGCTTTTCACTTCCTATTTACTTTCTTCTCGTGACTTACATATTGAGTGAATGTTATGTATTGACAAGTTGAAGGCAAGATCCTCTTTATGAAGTCTTAAATAATAATTTTTTCCTGTCTTATTTTTTCAAATTGAAAAATCTCAAAACCTATTTTGAAATCATTATACGGATAATTTAAGTTTGTTTTCCTTCCTGACATTTACAGTTGATTACTGCAATCTACCCGTTATTGACTTCTGTCTATCTCTGTTTTCAAGACCATGTAATTCTTTAAAAGCCAATTCATTATATTATTATTGAAGATGCAAATCTCTTGTATTTTCTTAACCAGCTTGTGATGGTTGTTGATTAGCGAGAGTCCACTTTTTTACCGCTGTCCTGATCTCGAGGTAAGGAGACTATTTTTCTTGATTGATGAGTTTTGGATTGTGAACTCAAAGTAAGCTGACAAATCCAGAGACTTGAGATCTTTCTTGTCCATGGCAACTCTAAACAAAATTGATGTGTAAATGCTTTGCGTTTGCAAAAGTGGAATGAGACCTCTTTAAAAGTGATGCATACATTGATTAACAGAATATAATGATGTTTGGGGTTACATGATACTTTACCTGGTTTTGCTTGATGGAAATTAAGATTTGCACTCTCCTTTAAAGCTCATCAAATCATGTTTATGAAAGCCACAAATTATTGCTTGATAATTCTTTTAGTGCCTCCTTGGCTACTTCTTGAAAGTCACGGATGCTACTTAAAAAACAAAACTAGCTATAACCTTTATCTTTTACCAATTCAACTTTTACTATTTAGCCTTTCCTTTTTTTTTTTAAAAAAAAAAGCCTTAAATACCTGTGGACATCTCATATTATCATGTTTAAAAGAATTCCATGAGAGCTACTCAATCCAAGAAATAAATTTTTGCATGCAATTGGTGCACCATGTCATTCATACTTCATCTGATAAAAATATGACATTCAGAGAATATTAAATTTAAATTGATTGTGCCATTAATGGTAATAGAGAGAAAGTAAAAATTTAAATATGCATTCTATTGTAAAGATTTGAATAAATGAGTAAATTATCCTTTGAATTTTAGATCCAATAGTACAATAGGCCTTGAACTTGTTTATTGTGTGAATTATTCTTTCAACTTTTAAAAATAATGTAATTTGACTTTTGCCATCAGCAAAAGTTAATTTTAATAGTTAGTTGGCAGATAAAAAGGACCTCAAAAAGTTACAAAGAAAGATCAATTTTTTTTGTCATTTTCTATAATTTTTTAGACTTTGTTTATTATTTTTGTATCCTTTATTATAATTTTCTTATCATTTTCTATAATCCTTAAAGTTATTTTTTGGTCAATTAACTGTTAAAATTAACAAAGAGTTAATGACAATTGCCACGTTATATTATTTTCAAAAATTAAAAGAACAATCTGTATAATATGAATTTATGGTTTATAATGTTATTGAACTTAAAGTTTTGAGAATAATTTGGTCATTTAGCTTAAAGATAAAGTCATTAAAAATAATAGCATATAAGATTTTGTTTGATTAAATTGGTACAATTTTATTGGATGAAGCATTGATATTTTGATACATGGGTTTATGTAAGAATTTCTCCATAGAGATGAATATGAATAAATGTCTAGGTTGAAACGTTGTTGGTGTAATTTTGTGATTTAAATAAAGTCAAGAGAAAATGAATATAATTTCAATAATTAACAATATCATATAACCACACCTTATTTCTCTTGCACAATTCATTGGGTTAGACCTTGACACAACCTGGCCATTGATAATGCATCGATCAAGTGTCATATATTATAAGTTAGGCAGCGAACAACTAGACGGAAACCAATGTGATGCAATATGAGTTTTCTAAACAATGGATGTTCAATTTGATCAGATTCAGAAATATTTGTAAAAACCAAAGGTTATTAGTACTTTATCTATCTCAATTTATAAGATACAACAAAAATAAACTTTATTTCATTAGGTGGGTTTGCTACATATATTATACGATGTTATTGTACTTTATCATTTATTAAGTCTTTAAAAATGTTAATTAAGAGGTCTTGATTAACAAATCAATTTGTAAAATATTTTTAAACAAAATTATACATATTAACTTAATAAAAAAATTATACATATTATTAAAGCTTATTAAATATATGTTATGACTTTATTCTTTCAAAACAAAAATTTAAACTCCAAAAATACCCTTAATTTAACTATTCATTTGTAAAAGAATATTAAAAAGAGAATATAATGGGAAGGAAATGTTAAAAAAATATTATTAATGAAATTTTATTTTATCGAAGTGTTTTACATTTTGACGTTTTAAATATTTAAAAAAATGTCTAATTATTTGGGAGAAAGGTAGGATAACGTTAATGTATCTATAAATGTTAATCAAGAACTCTTAGAAAATTAATGAAACAATTATAACTTATTTTTTTTTTAAAAAAAAATGTTCTTGTCGCTTACACTCTTAGCCTAAATAATATATTTAATTTGATTAAGGATAATTTTGAAAAGTAATAAAAATTATAAATTTAACTATTTTCTTTAATATCAAGAAAGTAGTTAAGAGTAATTCTTATAAGTCGTTTAACGTAATCCTCCCAAAAACGCATGATTCTCTGTGTGTGTGTGTGTGTGTGGTGAGTAATTTTTAGTTAAATTATAATTAATATATGAATTAATCATAGAGAACTGTGGGAGAAGATATTGTTAGATTTATAAATGCTTAATTCCTGGATATTTTGTTATTTTGAATCATAAACATATAAAATAGTTAACAGTTTAATAATATTATCATTATCATTAATAAATCTTGAATGAAGTATACCAGCGTATTTTATTCAGATTTTATCAAATTCAAAATAAGATAAAATAATAAAATCTTGGAAAAATGATAATAATTTTTTTGAATTATATAAATGATAATTTGATATCTCAAAATATCATAATATCAATGAAGTTCTTAGGAATTTCTTTGTCAATAAATTTTTTAGGAAAAAGATCACTTTACCCTTACTGAAAATAACATTACTCAATCACAATTTTTTTTTTTAAAAAAAATTACAACTTTGGTTTTGTAAATTGCAATAGTTAAATAAGAAATCATAACTTATCAAGTGTGATTTTTATTATTGAAAAACAAGCTTTAATCACAACTTTTGTTTTAAAAATAACAACTTTTGTTTTATGAATAGTAAAAGTTAAACAAAAAAATCATAATTTATCAAGTTAATTTCTATTATTGAAAAATAAAATCTCAAAATAATAAACTCTATTCACAATTTTTATTTAAAGAATGACAACTTTTTTTTCAAAAAATCGCAAGAATTAAATAAGAAATCACAATTTATCAATAAGAATAAAATGGTCTTTTTCTAAAAAAAAGTTATTGACAAAGAGGTCTCTAAAAACTTTATTAGTATTATGACATTTTAAAGGATTAAATTATTATTTATATAATTTTAAAAATTTTTTATTATCATGTTTCCTAAAATCTCAGCTCATCACATAATCACATAAATTGTTTCCCCCCCTTTTTAACACAAGTTCGTATCTCGTACAAAATTGTTTGGGAAGGTCGATCATTGGGAGCTTAAATGTTTTTCACCTAATAAGCTAATAAAATCTTTTAACTAACACTTGGGGGCTTCTTTCTTTAAAAGAATAATAAAGAGGTCCCACAAAAATTAATTAATTTAAGTTTCAAGTATTAAACTCAAAAAATTTGTAAGTTTATTTCTCAATTTTGTAATTGTATTGTGATAAATTTATAATTTATTTTTAAATTTTAACATGATTGAAGAATAAAAAAATTTATTTTTCCTGTTAAAATTTAAAATACAAGCTATAAATTTATCACAATATAATTACAAAATTACGAGATTGAGTTATAAATTTTTAAAATTTGATACTTGAAACATAATATAAATTAATTGATCATTTTAAAACTTCTTTGTCATTATCCCCTTTTTCTTTTGTGTATGTAAAAAATAAAATTTATTATAACTACTTCATTTTTGTCACATTACATATTTCATCATTGTCATCCATAATGAACCAACTTCTAGGAAGTCTCACACACACACACATTGAATTTCTGGCAAAAAAATATTTCTTTTGAATTAAACAATAAATACAATTTATAACTTATTTAAACCTTCCTGCTAGCAAGAGGTTCCACACACATGGAATACTCACCCACCCAATATACAGCACACAGCCCACCTAACTACACCCCACACACCTATCTAATTTAATCCCACGTATTTTTGGGCCCATAGCGATGGAAGTCACAATGCTTTACATCAGAGGGAAAGGCTCATGCCATTAAATCAAATGATTTTTGATATCAATAAAAGTTAGATTTAATAGAAAGAGTTAGTCTCTCACAACGTAATAAATTCATATTCAATTTCTTGTTAGGAGAGATGCCTATATTTAATGTTCGACAGCGCTTTCAATAGAAGAGACATGTGTGTGGAGCTCACGCACATTGATAGATAGGGTTTTAACAGTCTTGTTAAAAAAAATTTAATAAATACTATTAAATATTAAATATTTGAATATTAAATAATTTAAATATTATTTATAAATATTCAAACAAAATTTATAATTTTTTTAAATATTAACAGCTCAAACTTATTTTAAAACAAATTATAAATGACTTGTAAATTGCATATGAAGAATTGTAAATAGTAAGTATATTTATAAATAAATGACAAAAAATAACCTTATAAGAAAATTAATATTGATTAAGTCGTTTAAATTTTTTAGGTTATTTTTATAATTTTTTGGTTAACTAATGATCAAATTAATGAATATTTAAAAATGAAGTATCATTTGCTTAACTTTTCAATTAGGCTAAAAATATACCCCTCTAGTTCTTATTATAGGATATTTTCAACAATTTCACATATTTCGGCAAAAAAAAAACAGTTTCATGTATATTAATGATATTATAAAAAGTAAGATATATTTTTATTTTAACTTTGACTGTAAATAATGATACAACCATATTAAATACCTTCAAGCTAATAAAAAAATAAAATTAAAAAAGGTAATTTAATTATAACAATATATCCTACATTTCAAACAAAATAAAAGAGGTCTTACAAATAGGATCAGAGAGAGTATTAATTATAATATATCTCACTAATTGTAGATGTTCATAGAGGTTTATTATCTCCGTTTTTAATGCAAAATTATAAAATATCAAAATATTTAAATATTAAATTTAGGTGGTAAATATGTTAGAGAAATGCGGTTAATACACATTATTAACTTATTGTATATGTTATAGTTCATGAATCAATAGATTTTAGATTATGGTATAGAAATTTACCATCTCAATGACTCGGAAAAATGCAATCGTAGTACTCCTAAGCCTATAAAAGAGTTATCATCCTTGATTTCGTATATTTTGTTGATTGTGAAATCATTTGGCTGGCTTATGATATTGTTCTGAAGATTAATATCTAATATGGATTTGTATCCTATCTATACCCTCCACTTTAGTACCTCCTTCCGAATATATCCAATTTAATCTGTTTATTTATTTATTTGATTTAATAGTATA